ACACCCTGTAAGTGAGGGTGACTGAGCAGCATACATCAGAGTATGTCTGTCTGATATGCATTTCCAACCATTCTCTGCTAATGCATCAGGACACAGCAGAGCAGTGTTTGTCACAGACAGTATTGAAAACCTGTCATGGTATTGGAGGTGCTGCTGAATGGCTGTAAGACTGAATAAAGTCTCAGCGCTGACTCACCTGTAGATACAAGAGACTTCCTCCAGTGAAGTGACTGTGCATTAGTACAGATTGGTTCTTTCGCTCCTGTCCGACTGTTTGACTTCGATGTGTGACAGAAGTTTGTTTGTTAACCCTCTCTCTTTTCTCCATTTCTTTTGTTTTATTTTATTATTTTTTTCTCTTGTTATCAATGGCAGCTCTTGTGAATAGTGCTTTATCTGTGGCCCCCATCCCTTTCTCTAGCGACTCTTGCCTTTGAGAAAATGGCAGTATGTGTTTTAACATGTTGTTCCTGTTGTTGATGTGAATCAAAGCTCCTGCAAAACAGCTGGCACAGTCAAGTGCACTGGCTTCTCTGACCGGTCTCAGTGAGTATCCCTTTTTCTGTCACTGGTGGGGAGGGAAGGGAAGGGAAATTTCTTTGATTTATAGTCGGAACGTGGGAAAAGCTGTTGGCACAAAGCGTGACACCCAATATTTCACTGCTACTATTTAAGGCAAAAGTGGCATCTGACTTGCTTTTTAGATCTGTGCTTTGAAATTAGAAGCATGCTCTCAAAGACATTACAGACTGTTGAAAGTGTTTAAGAGCTGTATGTGTACTCCTTGTTAATAAGAGGTTTACTGGTGTGAAGTATAAAGTTAAACAAGATTAAGTGCCTTTCATGGGGACCTTGAGTTTGGATTGAGTGGTTTCATAAGTGGAACCTGATTTGAGAGCGGATCTTAACAGTTTCCAACACTCAACAACCTGGGGGCTCTGTTGTGGCAGGCGGGCTCGGTGACTATGGTTCAGATGAGAGCGAGGATGAGGATGGCCGTAGCGTCCGAGGATCCGAATCCTCAGACACAGATGAGGAAGAATTACGTCACCGCATCCGGGAGAAGCAGGACGCGTTCCGCCGCAAAGAGCGGGAGATGCAGCTGCTGCAAGACAAACAAGCTCAGGAGGCGCTGCTAGCACGTGGTAAATATTAAATGACATTTGTGCAATGTGTGTTACTAGTTCACTTTTAACCTGAGTCTTTGTTTTCTGTTTGTACAGAAGAGATGGCAAAGGAGAGATTAAGTAAAGAAAGGGGGGAATATGATGAGAGTCAGTCAGAATATCCACACAAACAGGACATGAAAGAGAGGGAGGCAGAGCCCTTGGCAGACAGGCGCAGGTCCCGTAGTGAGAGGGAGGGTAGTGAGGGAAAGCATTCAGGCAGAGGGAAGGAACGCTCAGGGAGAGGCGGCAGCGATTCTCCCGCCAATGGTCACAGCAGCAGCTCCCGCTCCACCTCCAGCCACAGCAGCAGTCGATCTTCCTCCTCCTCATCTTCTTCCTCAGCATCTTCCCGTAGCTCCTCTCGATCTTCCTCCCCGCGAAGGAAAAGGAGACGTAGTCGCTCCTCATCCCACAAAACCCGGCAGCGCAGCCGCAGCCACAGCTCACACAGGCATCGTAGTGATCGCAGTGAGAAGGGCAGGGACAGGAGGAGGAGCAGTGCAGAGCGATCAGGCCGCCACAAGAAAGATCGGAGTGATTCCAGGGAGCGCAGGAGTCGAAGGAGTAGATCTAGGTCCAGAGACAGGGCCAGAGAGAGGGCCAGAGGAAGTCGCAGTCGCAGCAGAGACAGGGAGAGGGATAGAGAGAGGAAAAGGAGCCGGGAACGCAGGGACAGCAGTCATAGTCGCAGCAGCAAACATAAACAAAAGGCCTCTAGTAAAGACAGAGAGAGGAGGAGGGAAAGGAGTCGTAGTCATGAGAAAGACAAGAAAAAGAAGGATAAAGATAGAGAGAAAGAGGTGGATAAAAAGAAGGAAAAGCCAAAGACCAAAGAGAAGGAAAAAGGGAGCTCTGTAGTTAGTGAAGAGAATGGCAAATCGAAGAAAAGGAAAGAGAGCGAGTTAGGAACCGATTCTCAAACTGAAAAGCACTCGCGACATGATAGTAAAGCCAGCAAGAAGGGCTTGGCCAAAGCTAGCAAGAGGCACTCAGACTCTGACTCAAGTAGATCCCCCTCCCCTGAAGTTAGCAAGGAAAAAAAATATAAGAAATCCAAACGTAGTCGCTCAAGATCGACGGAAAAATCTCACAAGTCTGGTAAGAAGGCAAGCCGCAAACACAAGTCTAAGTCGCGATCAAGGTAGTATTCGTTTTTTTCTCTTTCAAAATACTTTATAATACTGTTTTCATTGTGATTTCTCTCGAGTCTTTGATCTGTTTTAGTAGCTGAGAGGAAAATGTTGGCTGTTATGAAAATTTTATGTTTAATACAGCTACACGTGCCTGACTGTGTAAAGTCAGGTCTCATGAATTAAAGGCTTAAATCTTTCACAACGGTTTTCTATGTCAAATGCAAATATGCCATGACTGAATACTAGCAAGTACCGCTTCCCTAGAACATCTGCCTGATTTGTCTGGTTCCTGGCCAAAATAGAGGGCGAAAATGTCAAATTGAGCCAAACAAACAAATTTGTCTTTTCGCCATGTTCTGCAGTTTAATTTGCATCTGTAGAATTTGTATAACATCAGTTTTTATGGAAATTTTCTGCCATATTTATAGTCTTGACAGTATTTTTGGTGAAACGTGTTTTGTTCTGTTGTGCACTGCAATCAGTGTCATTAGTGCAGGAATAATGTTGTGTTCATAACTTTCTTTCAGGTCGACGTCTCCCTCCCGTCGTAGCAGACGCTGAGGAGCACAGTCACTGCCCTGATCTGTGCACTTTGCCATTTTAAATTCCATGAGTTGAACAGGCTTGTCTCATTATAGAGGCAGTTGTGTAGGTGAAAACCCCCTCATACTTTTCTTTTACTGTAAATATGTTCTTTTTAAAGTGTGCCTGAAGAACAAGTTTGAATGGTAGGAGTTTCCATTATCATGCACAGTTTAATTACACACTAAAAAAACTCAAGTGAAACTGTGTATATTTTAAAAAAAGATTAACTTTTTCTCCAATTATTGTAAGATGTCTAATAAACTGTTTCTTGTCTTGCCTCACTACCTCTCTGACCTTAATTCAGTATTTACTAACACAGTATGCGTGTTGCAATTGCATTAAACGTAACCATACAAAGCAGGATCCTGCTACTTCCCGGAGATTACAATAATTCCCACTTTAAGGCTGCATGTGTTCAGCTGTCAGTGCTGCTGGATGGAAGTAGTGTTAATCATGTGATGCAAAAACCGTGCATTGATAGAATGAATGGTAGAAAGTAACTTAAAACATTTTCTCAGTTTTCTGAAGAACGGTTGCTTTGTCCATAAGTATTTACAAGTTGTGCTACTTCTGTTCCACTAGGTACTGCAAATGGTGCACTTTGTATTCCTTACCATATTTTATATACGTTTTAGAGTGTCACTTTTTAAACTAAATCTACAAGTTTGTTGCTGTTTTGTTATAGATAAAGCAATGCAGCAATATTTAAGTGATTAAATAAGTTATTTTAATCAAATCAATTTAGATCTACAACATCAAAATGTAACTTAGAAATCTAAAAGGTTGTTTTGTATAAGAACTTTTACTTTAGGAAAAAAATATTTTTTGATGCTGTAGTTAGGATAATGGTTTCTGTTTAAAGCATCAAATTGCTTGTTTGTTCATACTGAAAAACAGTTATTCAATATAAAATAATATTAACACTTCAATAGTTTCACTTCTTACATAACACATCGTTAAAGGCTCTCAGCTGCAGGGGAGCCTGAAAATCGTGCCCAGTGTTTGGTACACCATTGTTTCTGATCTTTCTTTTTTTTTCATTCTTTTTTTTTTAAATCCTGGAACATAAAAATATAACACGAGCACATCCAGACAGTTTTCTGAAAGGTGATGCTCGGATTTGGCCTTGGAAAAAAAAAACCAACTCTTCATGTCATGCATCCCAACACTGAGTCCAAGCGCTGACAAATGGGGAGCACAGGTTAGTGTACCACATGAGTACTTGAAGCCTGTGCAGGTTAAATGCTTAATCACATTTAGAATTTGGAGACAACAGTCAACACAAAAATCTTCATCTCACGTCCCTCAAACCATTCAGATGTTTCCACTGTGCCAGAAACGCTCTTGTCATAGGTGATCTTACTGTTTTGTTCCACATGTGAACATAATACAAGTTATCACAAATTACACCCTAGTAGTAAAAAATAGTCACCAGTAACATATGATTGGCCAGTGAAGTTATCAGTTTTGGTTTTTCCCCAATGAGTAAACTTTTTTTTTCTGTTTGTACAGAGACGATTGGCACTTTAAAAAAAAGTGAAACTAGTTAAATGTTTGGTCAGGCATTACAACTGAGAGCATGACTCCCACGAATCCATTTTAAAACATAAATTTAAAAAAAACTGGGAACAAATAAAGCTGTCAAACTTTCATTTCCTACTGTGCAAACACTGATTTTTAGTGAGTGGTTTGCAATATCCGATTTCTTTACTGATGGATCCTATTAACCTGTAAGTGATTACTGGGTAAAGTGTATTGGACAAATGAAACTAACCAAAGTCATTAGACTCTACTTTGTCCAGTTGGTCAGGTCTCAACTGGGACTTTTTAATTTTTAAACAACCAAGGAAGAACTTGGCATACTTTTACTGCTCATATTTATTTTTTCGAATACCATAGAGCAGACACAAGCAGTCAAAAAAGAAAACTGGCATAGCATAAAATTAAATACATAAAATATAAATAAATGAAGAGTGGCAGAGGCACTGGGTCCTTAGCAGCTCAAGAGGACATGGGGAATAATTGAAAAAGATAGTCAACGTCAATGATGACGAAACTGAAAATAGTAACTGTAATCTGGAAGCAGGCTTTACAGGGGAGCATCTCGCTGGTTTTACTTGAGAGGCCCGAGAAACTAGAGTGGAGAAGTGGGCTCATCTCCAAAGGCAGAGGAGGGCAGCAGTGCAACGGCGACGGTGAGAGCTGCGCTTAAATCTCAGCGTAGAAGAAGAAGGAAACCCAGCGACGCTGAACTCCAAAGACGAAGAAGACTGTTTATTATGAACTTCACAGCTAGTACCTCGATGGTTTTATGACATGTACTCCAACAAGTTTCGCCGCCTCATGTTAGGGCTGCACTGCCTTAAAACGACCGCTGTTTGCGGCCTGGTCCAGAGGGCCGCTGGTCGAAGCGGGTTCGGCTGGACTGCGGTGTGTAAACAGCGGACACTGTGGCTGCAGAGGAGCGCCTGTCGGGAGATAGAACGACGTGCTGTGCTCCGTCAAAACGGGTATTTAGCAGACACACTCGTGTGGTGACACCTTCCTTTCCAGTGCCACACTGTATAAGAATATTTGGGGGACCGGAAGCAGGACTAGAAATCAGTATTTTTTTTTATTTTTAAAAGAAAAAAAGAAACTAAAACCCAGTGAAATTTAGTAGCATACAGCTACTGCTTAGACTAAGAGGTCCGACGAGGCTCACCCTGGTAGCTCTACGACTCTGGACAGCTGATACATAGTGCATCATAAATATGTTACGGAAACAATTCTAATTACTACTCTGAAATTTAATACAAGCATCCTTTTGCATCCAGAAAGATAGTCAGGTTTGTCATTTTGTTAAATGAACTGGACTGATTCGTGAAATGTGTGATTCTCCTCCAATACTCCGATACTTTATAGTCAAAGTATATTAAAGTTGAGTACCTTTGTGGATGGCTATCATATTAGAAAGGCTTCCAAGCAGATTATCTCTGCCCAAACCGATTCATTGCTTACAGACACGATTTTCAGTGTCTTGATGTGTCCTGTGGCTGAACACTTTTCACCATTTTTTTAGAACACTAAAAATGCTGCCTTTTTCTTTTACTCAAGTGATAGCATTTTGAGCATGTGACTTATGCATGAACTAAAAAAAACAAAATTTGGCACAATTCAGCATTTGTAAAAATTTGCACGTCACCAGAGACTGCATCATTACCGAACCATTTTACACGTTTTTTTTTTACATGTCTTTACTTGGTTTTAGCAAGATGAACTGAATGAAATGGGTACTGAGGGTTAAATACCAGCACAACCTTTTGTTTTAGAATTTGCATTTGCAATTTGCATCTTCAGAAACTATATGTTTGATGTCAGTAGCAAAAGGACTTGGTATTTTGCTTGTTAGATTAACTCATTTTCTTCAGTTTTACTGCACTCAGTATGTCCAAAGTATGATGAGCACAGCAGAATGCAAAATACTGGATAGGATAAGAAAAACAGTAAGCTCACATATGAGAGCCAATGATACTGATATTGGTACATAGCCCAACACAGTGCATCCAGAAAGTACACGACTGCTGGTGTTTCATCATGTTACATCCTCATTCCAAAATGATTAAATTCATTATTTACCTAAAAAGATCCACACAATACCCCATAGTGACACGGTTAATAAAAGGTTTGCTTTAAATTCTTTTAAATTTACTAAAAATAGCAAACAAATATGTTTATATATGTATTCAAAGCCCCCGCTATGACACTCAAAATCATGTACATCCTGGTTCCACTGGTCATCTGATGATTCTATAACTTGATTGGAGTCCACCTGTCTAAATAAGGCCCCACAGTTAACAGTGTATGTTGGAGCACAAACAAAGCAAGGAATTGTCTGCAGACCTCTGACACAGGATTTTATTGAGGCACAAATCTGGAGAAGGTTACAGAAAAATTACTCTTCATCAAAAATATCACCATCATCTGTAAATAGGAGAAGCTCTGCCTGAGTCAGGTAGGTGACCAAGAAAGCGATTGTCAGTCTGACAGCTCCAGCGTGGAGAGAGGAGAAACTTGAAGGACTCTCAGACCATGAGAAACAAAGATTGAACTAAATGCTAAACATCATGTCTGGTGGAAACAAGGTATCGCTCATCACCTGGCCAATACCATCCCTACAGTGAAGCTTGGTGGTGGTAGAATCATGCTGGGAGATGTTTTTTTTTTTTTTGGCAGCAGGAACTGGGAGACTAGTCAGCCTTAGCTTGGATCGCAGACTGGGGCGAAGGTTCATCTTCCAACAGGACAACAACACTAAGCACACAGCCAAAATAACAAAGGAGTGACTTTAGCCAGAGCCCAGACTTGAATATGATTGAAGTTTGAGATTTGAAAATGGCTGTGTACCAACTCCCACTCTGTCCAACCTGATGGAGCTTGAGAGTTTCTGCAAAGAAGAATGAGAGAAACTGCCCAAAGATAGGTGTGCAAAGCGAGTAGCATCAAACTGAGCAAAGACTTTGAATACTTACATGGCATATTTTTTTTCTATTTTTAATAAAATTGCAAGAATTTCAAGGAAACCTTTTTACTCATTATGAAGTGATAATCAAGTCCATGTTGGAATAAGGCTTTAACATGACAAAATGTGGAACAAGTGAAGTGCTGTGTATACTCTTGGAATATGTGTGCAAACAGCTCGACTCCACACACTCAACACAGCTGTCGGGCTACTCAGCTGCAGGTTCTGGAGAAGAATTTTGAATCAAAAAGTATAGTGAGATTTTTATTTTTTATTATCGACACTATAGAACAGTCTTTTGTTGGTTCCTTGTTTATTTGGCTTGGTTGTTTCCACTTTAATGGCTGTTTTTTGTTTGTTTGTTTTTTTCCACATGCAGCGTTCGGTCAGCCTCTCACAGCACCGTGGACCCTGATGAACTGAGGAAGTTCCAGTCGTTGGCAAACAAGTGGTGGGATGAACAGGGAGAATTTGCAGCTCTTCACGCCATGAACGACCTGAGGGTGCCTTTTATACGGTACACAATCCGCCCGTCAATCTTCATCAGAGGCGCCAACAGATGGTGTCAACGTAACATAACCCAAAGGAAAGCCGGGCGGCCTCGTGGTATCTGAAAGCAACTTGTGAGGATACAAGGAAAAATAAGAGAAATTGAAAGTGACAGGGTTCTTCCAAATATCAGTACATTTTCAGCCAATAGTGTTTCAGCTGCTTTGGCTCTACACGTGTGCATGTTTTGGGGGTCGGCTGGGGCTGTTTTGATTGATAAGATCTGTTGTTCAGGACCCTTTGCTGTAATCATGACAGCCATCCAGCCAAGAGCCCAGTGCTGTGTTCCCCTCCCCCACCCTGGGATCTTCTTGGTGGTGGTGGTGGCGGCGGTGATGATGATGTGTGCTTATGGTGACAGTATGACAGATCTAGTGTCAGTGATGTCTGAGTGGGGATGATTTGCCCAATAAGATTTTACCCTCAGGGCAAGTTGAAATGAGAGACAGCAGCAGTGCTGCCACTGTTGCTGCTGGAGCTCTGCGACTCTGATAGTTCATCCTGCCAGGGTGCCTTATTTTCTTCATTGTTTCAGTGTGTGCTTTAGTTCTGTAATACATGGTGTTGTATATAGACTCAGGATCTGTGCAGATACCCCGTGTAGTAACCAAATGCAATGTCTTTAACAAAACAGGGTTTAGTGTTTGATTTGCCTTAGTTATTAGCAAAATGGTCTACTTCTATTTTGTCCTCAAAATGTTACACTGACAGCAATACAGTGAATCATAACTATACATGCAATGGTGACAAATTAAAGGAAAAAAATCTGCCCTTTATTGTGAGGAATTCAGAGTTTCCATCATACTTGTCCTCTTATCAAAGGATACAGATTTATGTCCTGATGGGAGTGGTCTTTTCCAATATGGCAGTTGTAACCTTCTGTAGGACATGAGTGGGTCACTGAAAGGTTTGATTATTATGAAAATGATGCGAACCATATGCTACAGTTTTCACAGTCAGCTGATCTCAACGAAGTTGAACACGGAGATATTTGGATCCATATGATAGATGGCTTACTCTACCAGCATCACCAAAGTGAGGGAACACTTGATAGTGTTCAACATGATAGGGAAAAAATGTAGAGAGGTCATTATTTGACTTTTTATTCATTGTGTATGCAAATTTACCTGTGTGACTAAATGTTTACCCACAGTTTCTAAAATATAAAGTTGGAAAACACTCAGAAATACTTCAGGTTTGAGACTGAATTTCTTTTTGGGGTTTTTGGTTCATTAAGTCAAAATCAATTTTATGAAAATAATCACTGAGTTCATGCTGACAGTAATGGTTTATCATGTGCTGATAGTTCAGCAGTAGCTTTTGTCTGGCTCTGTCTGGGTGGTGGTAGTGCGAGGAGGTAGTTAGATGGATGTAAGTATATTTTGGCACCTTAGCAGAGCTTTAATGACGAGCATGATGTGCAGTCAGGTCTCAGCCTGTTCCCATGTTTCGGGCCTCAGGCAGGAGGCTGTCGGACTGCATATCAGGGAAGGAAGTGAGGATGCTTGTTTGCTGGCTGACACTGTTGCTCGGAGCGATTTGAGAGAAGATGGTGTAATACAGCATGGAGTTACTCCTACACTTCCTCATGCTAAGCGGCTTCTCATAGACTTTGGAGGTTCACAATTTCATATCTGCCCACTGTTCTTTTACTTTTAAGCGTTAGGTCTGTTGTAGAGTATTCTGAAATATCTTGAAGACTTGGGAATGGGAGATATATTTTTATATATTTTTACCTTGCACAGGGATAACCTGCTGAATGTGCACAGAGCGCGCCATCCCGGGAAGCCACTCGCAGGACTGAAGATCCTGGACGTCGGTTGTGGAGGAGGCCTGCTCACAGAGGTAAAAAGCGTCCGAAAGCTGCAGACTCAGAGCAAACAACAGCGCCAAAGAAAAGCGTCTTTCCTGCTACATATTATCTGTCTGGGCGCAATTGTTTCAATTGCTACCTTTCACGTCACATTGAGTCTTTTCTTCCCTCGTGCAGCGTAAATATGTGCCTTCGATGTGCTTCAGTGCCAGGCTTCTCACATGCATACGCAGCAGAGCCCGGATAAACATTTCAACGTCAGCCCGGTGCTCGTTCTGCTTTGATCTGACTGGTCACGGCGTGGTGGATCGGACAGTCGGTCGTTTACAGTTGTTTATCTGTTTGTTAGCGCTGATAGCTGCATGACTGGGACGGAGCTTTGATGTGAGCTGAGGACTCACCAGCTGTGCTGTGTGATCTCTGAAGACAAAATCAGGTCCTGTTCTTATACAGCTCCGTCACACAGGTTGTCTTATTGAGACACAGACACACATGATAAGAGCGCCTGTTAAGGCTGTGACTGTTATTGTGTGTCTGACCGTCTCTTAGCTAACAGTCCTACCATCACACGGGATCAGCAGCGGAAGGATGGATATCAGGCCCCTGGGCGAAAAAGCTCTTCAGTCAGACTTGGATGTATAGCTTTTGTCCACAGGAGGGCACCGTTCACACCAAACCCTTATTTAGTGCATGTTCCTGCATATCGCTGCTATGTTTTTCCCCCACTCTCTTTACAGTGCCAGCACAGCGTCTTGTGGAGATGAAATGATGCTTTACTACCATGATTGATATTGTTTTAAATTTCATGAGTTGTTGTTGTTGTTGTTTTGGGTTTCTTTTACTCAACAACCACAAAATCTCTTGTATTAATTGACATGTTTTAGATATATTATAAAAGCCTAACATTGAATTCAAATAACTCTCATTAGACCTACACTGTGCTGTATTTACCTGCATGTAAAACAACAATCCCCATTTACTAGTTCTTCTTCTTATGAAGATGGACAGGTTATGGATGAGTGTGGATGAAGTGAATGATGGAAGTCAGGAAATTTTCTTTCTCTCATTAAATTTTGTATTCCAGAATTTAATAGTTCATGCAAATCGGTGCCTATTACCCCCCAGTGAATATATTACTGTAGATAAACATAAGGCTTGTGGAAATGTGAGTTCCAACACATAATCAGTGACTTCACAGTCAAATGAGCACAGCATCCTGAAGAAGACAGGTTAGATAACAAAGCAGTAACATTTCACGTTTGTTAGTACAACATTATTTGTGTGTAAGAGTCAAGTTTTTCTACTAAGACTAAGTAAAATATGAGTTATTGTGATACAGATATATATTTTTTTATAATGCAAGACAAATGTTGCTCATATTGTTAGCTGTTGTGGTTGAACAGTGACTTATTTTTTTAAGTATTTAGCATAGTTAATATGATTGATGTATAATGTTATATTTGTCATCCAAAGAGGACAATGAAAAATTGTATTCTTATTCCTCAAAGCTAATGCAACTAATATATTATTCATTTAAAATGTGTGCTTTGTCTACTTTTATCATTTTTAATATGGTTTTGTACTGTCTGTTCTTCTTTTAAGTGAATCGTATTCGGCTCTGCTTTTTAAAAAAAAAAAAAGTTTGACGTGCAGTTCTCTGCTCCTCATCCTCCTCCAGCCCCTGGGTCGTCTGGGAGCTAAAGTTTTGGGTATAGATCCAGTGGAAAATAGCATTGGCACCGCCCAGCTGCATTCGTCCTTTGACCCGGACCTATGTGAGCGGGTGTCCTACCAGGTGTGCACCCTGGAAGAGCTCTCAGGAGGAGAGGATGAAGGAGCGGGACACTTTGATGCTGTGGTGGCGTCTGAGGTTGTGGAACATCTGGCTGACCTGGAAACGTTCGCCTTCTGCTGCAGCCAAGTGCTAAAGGTGCTGTTTGTTGTTTTATTGTTTCGTTTTGTTTTTTAATACTTTGACTCTGATATTTGTGTATTAATACTGCACTTGTGTTTGCATATCAGGTAGAGGTTCCCTCTCTCTGAATTAGACAGTTATGGGTGCCCGAGTCAGCACCGGGCTGGACGGGGTCTGTGGATGACCTGCTGTGTTTTTCTGTGTGTGCCTTGTACTTATCATTGAAAAGTTTCAGTGAAAGCCGTGGTCCATACTGCAGCCTGGGGGTCAGAATCTCCTAGGTTAGTGGGCCAAAAGTAGCTGAGAGGGGGAAAAAAAAGCTTAATACAGGAGGTTAAGTCATGACTGGAATTCTTTCTCTCTCTCTGGTCTAAATCTTTCTTCTGCACTTTCATTAAAAAAAAACCCAAACACAATAATGTTTAATATTTAGTATTTACTGTTATATTTCCATAGATCATCGTGATGTTGTTTATTGTATTGCTCTCGTTTTCTTCTGCTTGTTTTCTTTTTTCTTTCTCAACAGGTGATCCAGGTGATTGGTATATGTATTTTTTATTTAGTTGGTTTTTTGTTTTTTGCCCTTTATCCCCGTCCCTCTTCTCTTTTTTTTTTTTCCCCCTCTTCCTTTCTTCCTTTTCTTTTCTTCATTCAAGTCTGTCCCGTATCTAGCAAGTGAAAATAAAAAAAATAAATTAAATAAACAATAAAAGGTGAATCAAATAGACCATTACGGCAAGGCTGGGATGGTCAGTTTGGTAAAGTAAATCCGTTGGGCATCTTTCCTCGCCTTTAGACAATAATTCTGATGGCAAAAGAGCCAAACGGGAAAAGAAGAAAAGAAAAGAAGAAAAAAAAAAAAAAACCCAAACATTTAAATGTACTTTTCTTGACCACGCATGCATATATTTTTTTGATGCTCATGCTTTTATTTATTTTTTCTCTCCCCCACGTTCAACCTATTTTTCTTGGCCTTGTTGAACTTTGAGGTTTGGCATCCTTCCAGATCTCGCGCGCTGGATTTTGTCCTCTGAAAGCCTTAAATCCATTCTATAAATACCCTGCTGCGTCTCGTAGAAGAGCTCCTCCCTTGTATATCACCTGCAGAGGTGTCATGAAATGTGTTTCCAGAAGTAACGCAGTCTATTTAATTTATATTTCATGAATCAAACCTTTCCATTTTTGCTCCCTGTGTGCAGCCAGGTGGCTCACTATTCATCACGACTATAAATAAAACCAACCTGTCCTACGTGCTGGGCATTGTTGTAGCGGAGCAGCTGCTGCGCATCGTGCCCGACGGGACCCACGACTGGGAGAAGTTTGTCAGCCCAGTAGACCTGGAACGCCTCCTGGAGTCTCGTAAGTCCCTTTGGAGGGAGAAAAAAAAGAAGCTCCCACTGATTATAGAAAACAGACTAAAAATGCAAAGTTTTTTTAAAAAAAATAATTAAGTGGGCAAATCTATGTGGAACTAAATATACCATATTACAAAAGGTCGCTACAAGATGTAAAAGTTTTTTTTAAACAGCAGTAAATTGAGGATTTCTGTGTCCATAAATTGTCTGCAAAGCTCATTTTATAATTCGTGTTCAGGAGTAGTGCAAAAATAAAAATCTAATTTTGCCTTTTGTGTTGACATCAGTGTCTTCCTTCTTTGTTAGATGGTTTCTCAGTGCAGTCTGTCAAAGGAATGCTGTACAACCCCCTGTCGGGAGCCTGGAGCTGGACCGACAGCACTGCCATCAACTACGCCCTCCACGCCGTCAAACTGAGAAAACAGGCTGAGGACAGCAGCCTCCACCCAGAGGACCACACCATAGAAAGTAGCAGCTGAGCCACGCCACTTGAGAAGAAATCCAAAAATGAGAAATAATAACTCAGACGCGAGCGGCCCTGACATCCTGTCGGCCAGCTGTGACGCAGCACATGAGACTGAGTTTATTCAAGGAAAGGGACAAACTGCCTGCAGATAGAATTAGAGATGTGCTGCATTTGGCAGACCCATTGATGCTGTGCTGTGCTGCGTGAGCGCTGAATACATGTCTAGTGTTTGATAAGCTGTGTAAAGCAACGGTGCATCCTTTAATTGTGTAATCATTTTCAGCATATGCTGTCCTGCGTCAGTGTGGTGTTTGAGGCTGAATAGTTAAAGGTTTGCAACATCCTCCATTAAAACTGACCTCACATCAGTTTGATTTCTCAAGAATGAACGCATGAGAGTGAAAAATGTGATTATTTGGAATGCTAACAAAAAACAAACATGATTTCAGGTTTTTAGATGCTAATATTAATTTATATTTTGTGTCCACAGAGGGGAGGGGCAACCATATCCTGTGGGATTATAAGGGGTCTGGTCTCATGTGGACGTATTACATAATACAGATCTCCCTCGTGCAGAGAATAAGTCATGCTTGCATGATGGTCTTAAAGAGACCAGAAATATGACAGTAGAACATGTGCAGAAGCTAACAGAGCACGCTGTGAGGACTGAGCACTACACCTATTTCAATTTCAGATATGTTGACATTTCACCGGTTTAAAAAAAAAAAAATGCTCTTTGTATATACATATTTTAAAAAGAACTCTCCCTCTCACCCTCTGGGGGGTGGTATGTGTGTGCTCCTCACGTTCAGGTCCTCTACCAGAGGCCTGGAAGTTAGAGTGCTCTGTGCAGTGTCTTAGCTGGTCCTTGGACTGCACTCTCCTGGATGGAGACCTTTGATGTTGTGCCTGGAATCTGCTCAAGCTAATTTTCCAGCTCCTTTATGCTTCTATTACCACTAGGACCACTTTGGATTTTACCTTCCACATCTGCTCCAGATGTTTCTTCAGCACCTGGTTCTCCATTTTTTTGTGCTCCTTCTTCCCGATGTTGCTGTCCGGTAGGATTACAACATCTATGACAACTGCGGTCTTCTGTTCCTTGTCAACAATCACTACAATACTGCTTGGTTTGCCAGCAGCTTCTATGTGGAAGTGGAAGTCCCACATGACCTTACTCCTGTTGTTCTCAACCACCTTTTGTGATTGAGGACTTGGGGACTTCTAGTCCATATGCAGCACAGATGTTCCTGTATGCTATCACAGCCACTTGGTTGTGCCTCTACATCTATGCAGTTCCAGCTTGCTTCTTACATCCTATTACTATATGTTGGATAGTCTCTGGGGCACCTTTGCACACTGTTCAACTTTCTTCCCTTTGTAGACTCAACCCTCTATCTGATGCCTAGAGCCTGTTCTTGTGCTGCTGTGTTAGAGACTCTGCGCTGTGCTTTAAGTCTGTGTTGTGCCAGAAAAATGATTTCAGGAATTTGCCCCAAAATGATTGTCTATATTTAAACTGTTTTAAATGACTTGTCAACCCACAATCTGTCAAACACATGACAAGCATGTCTCTTAAGAATGATATCAAGCCATTTTGAGCCAGAAATAAAACAGTCCTGTCACAAGGTAAGAAGCTGCAGTCGGTTTTTGGCAAAGTGACTTTTATGTATCCTATATTTATCTAGGTAAAGAGCGTCATTGACATCAAAAATGTCTTTCTCACGAGCGATCTGGCCAAAAGTGCCATTAAAAAAAAAAAAAAGTGTCATAAAGATGCTTCCTGGTGTCAAAGTCGTTTCCTCTATCTGCCGACAGTATCTCTATGTGTGTCTTTACTAAATGCCTTGCTCCAGCAGTGCCTGCTGTGTCATATTCCCAGGCTGGTTCAGCAGTAAACACCAATACACGCTCCTGCTGTAATGCGCGCTCCCGAGAGCCACGAGGCCGCGCGTTTAACTTGCCGTAGCCATGGCTGCGGTAAGCACTCACCCTCCTTCACTGACCTGACGGGGTCAGACAGCAGCAGGCAGGTAATTGGCACCAGGATGATACCGGCGGACACGTAACTACTGGATGTTCTTTTGTCCGAGTTGTCTACATCCTGTTCTCGGCATGCTCGACAAACAGATCTGGAACTCACCTGCTGGATTAAAGCGTCAGGATGAACGAAGTCTTCCACTTCCAAAGTTGCTCCAGAGTGAGTACTCCTTCCTATTAGTGCATTTACCACTAAGTTATACAGTTAGACTGTAAGTAGAGTCTATACCCACAGCACACCGCGGTCACAGCACAGGTGGCATAGTGGATTTGCAATCCGTGTCTTACTTTTCTCGTTTGCGTAATGTGCTTCAGTGTGATTGCACAAACACACTGCACTCCATAGAATCTGTAGTAGCTGAAGCGGAGCAGTCAGTCGGTTGGAGGCCGCTTAAAATGTAGAAGCGGAGCAGAAGGGCTTATCATCATGTTTGGCTGCTGTTGGCCAATAGTTTGTTTTCGTGGTGGTGAGTGAGTCTCTGCGTTCAGGGGCTCGCCAGGGCGGGGTGGCTCCGATCCTCCACCGGAGAAAGACAATAGGCCGGCTGCATGAAGTAACCGGCATTTGATTAGACAGCAACGGAAGTTGCCCAACTTTGCCACAAAAATAAAAGGACTGGGTAATTCTTTTTTGCGTTTCTAGCCCTCTTTTTACCTTGATCTGATCAAAATGTACACTCCACTACACGTAATATGTGCTGTGAAAGTTATTAAGTTCTACAGGTGTTAATCACATAAGTTTCTTAGCAGCTCTTTGCAGAACTTAATTAGATCAATTGCTTCTCTTTCTTGTAAACTCTCGTTTCTATGGTGGGGATTGGACATCTTTTTGCAAACCAAGTGTATCTGACTAAAGCTCTTTGAGAGACTCAAAAAAAACCCCAACAACCTGGAACAGCCCTCCACCTTGAACTAAACATGTAGACGTAACTTTGCACAATTCACAGTTCAGATTAATTCATGTTTATCTTAGTCTGTCCCTTGAGAAAAAAGGAAGCACCCATTAGTACCTCGAAACTTTGGTCAGATGGGGATCTGCCATATAAACAGAAAATAAGGGAATACATGATGGGCCTGCTTTAAGCTTTTTCCATTATTTGGAAGCAAAACAGCCTAATAATCTTTGGTCCCAGCTACTTTAATTTGTTTTTGCTAATAATAAATTAAACCTATTTATTTGGTCAGACAAATCAGATAATGATTCGACTACTTTTAAACTATTAAAACATTTCATGAACAAAAATGAATAATTTAGTTTATATCATGTTCAGATTTACGATAGAATTCCATTCACATGATATATGATGGAAAACTAGCAATAACTAACAGCCACTGTGTACGGTTATTAAGAGCAGAAAATGTTATTTTGCAAGTAAAATATTAGGTGCAAAAAATGTAATTGTAACAGTGTGGACACTGACATTTATTTTGAAATTAGGGACCGGAAGTCGCGGTGTTGCCATTGTTATTCGCGCGATAATGCTGGGCAGATCCTGCGAAGGAAAGCGAGCTGGCTGCCGAGCCTCATCTCAGGGAGTGATGTTCCAGATATTTACCTTTTCCGCTTTCCTGGATCAATATTAGCCACACCGCCGCCATGCCGTAGACACAGCGCCGGGGGTCTCGATGAAGCCTAACGGGGACTGCAGCAGGGAGGACGCGGGGCGGCTGTAACCGAGGGAAGAGGATGTACTGGGCTGCTGGTTTCGCCTCTTCCCGGCCGTGTGTTGTTGAACTGGGGCGGAATCACAGCCTGCCCATCGGGCTGTGCGGCTCCGAGCAGCAGCAGTCGTTGTATGGCTATATCATCGCCTTTCCTCTGCAGGATTACGGAGGCATCATGTCGGTTTTGGGCTCGGACTCCTGGTGGAAGAAGACCCTGTACATCACCGGGGGGGCCCTGCTGGCTGCTGCAGCCTACCTACTGCATGAGCTGCTCGCCATCAGGTAGGGACGCGCAACATTTCTGCGCTCTTTATCATCTTTATCACCACCAGGTTTCTGTTTGTTTGTTTGTTTAGTATTTCTTTTGCCTCCCGGGGCTCACGTTTTGATCGCACCCACCCCCGCTGACAGTGACTGATGAGTGACACCGCATAAAGCATTATGGATACAGGAGTGTGTACATGGGGATGTGGTTCCTCTGCAGCTCTCGCGGGAAGAGGCTCTTGCTGAGGTTGCCGTCCCTCGTTTTCTCCTTCAAAGGACACGACACTAGGTGGAGACTTAAAAAAATAATTAATAAGCGAGTCACGCGTCCGCTCGTGTGCCAGTTCCCTTGCAGAACACATCGGCACCTGAGCGTGTCTAAACTAAGCGCTCCTCGGACGCTGCGGAATCAGCCTGACCTTTAATGAGCTGAGACACAGCAGCTGTCCGCGTCATTTACAGTTGTTTTCTACAATGAAAGCTGGTGATCAGTATGCGGTCACTGTAAGAGAGATTAACACGGGACTATTGTCAGAGCACAGACCGCCTGGCTGTGAATGGATGGATTATTTATTTTTTTCGGCCAGGCCAGTGCCAGGAAGTAAGAACATCCTGTTACAGTGGCCTGGTAGTTTCTGCTTTCACTCCCCCTCCTCGATCCACAAGCTGCGTGAACCGTGCATTTCGTGCAGAAACTCTGAATCACGTGCAGGCCGCTGAGGCTGGCCCCGCAGCCTGCCGGCGTCATCTGTCCGTGCCATGTGATGTATTGTTGGCAGAGCTGCTGCTACGACTAGTCAGCTTTTGTTCTCCTTTTCCCAGCTGAGAGATCTTTGAGAAGTTCTTTAAGTGGTTCCTCTGAGAGACGAAGCACCACAACGTGCATGGAAGAAGGACGGCATGCGTAGATCAGGCGTAATAATATGATGTCAGTTTCTCTGCAGATTTAGAATATTTTCAGCACCATGTAACTGTGGACAGCTACCAAGGAGACCTGCGAGGTTTCAGCACCACAGTCAGCTCAAGTTTATTTATTTAGCATCACAACCAACAACTCCTAGCCACCACTGTGACAATAGAGAGGAAGAGCTCCCTTTAAACAGGAAGGAATCTCCATAAGCAAGGCCTTCCCTGAGAGAAAATAAAAGGCTTGTTTGGATGGCAGCATACGTTGCCTCAAAGCACACAATGCACACAACCACAGATGCTGGCACTGAAATATGGACTGATAGTAGATTGAGGGATTGCTCTTTTCTTTATATTTTAGGATGGAGCATCCATGACAGTTTAATCTCATAAGTTGTGAAACACTCAACCAGCTGTGTGTTGTTGTTGTTGTTGTTGTTGTTTTTTTTAAAACAATCTTTTGTTGACTTGGGGTTTTTGAAACATGTTGCTGATATTAAATTAGAAATGAACATATTATTTTTTAGAATATAATAAAATATAAACTCTGTACTATCCTGTAAAAACAGATTTGTATTTAGTTTTTGTTTAGATAACATCCAGCCTGGAATGGGGTCAAGTTGCCAATTACATGGAATCAGTTTCTGATAATACGGTAATTAACTGTGATCAAGTGTTACAGTGATAAATTGTTCACAGTCAAATATCTGTTGTTACAAATGAATTCGTGTGACTTAGTGATTCGCTTGCTTAGCATCGTCAAGCTAACTGTGTCCAGTATTGGATGGTTTTTCGTTTTGTTTTGTTTTTTAGCGATGTATTTATTGAGTTGTTTTATATTGCAAAAGTTCAGCTGATTTCATGTGAATTTGCTCCGCTAACCTTATCTAATGCTGGTGCTACATGATATGAGCTCTCTTATTGTAGTGTTTCCAGAGTATTTTCATTTATTTAATAAAATATAGATATTTGGTGTCCCTTTATTGATACAATAGTGCCATGCAAAATATTGCTCTATCATTTTTTTTTCTGTCACTCTAAAAGTGGCCTGGGTAAAAAAAATTTGTTTACTTATTTTTGTCTTAATGTACAGAAATACGTTTTTTTTCCCCTCTGAATAATTAAAAAACGACATCATGTTGTAATGTGATCGTAAAATAGGATAGAACTCAAAAGAAAAGCAACCATAATCTATAATATAATTTTCACGACCCTAACTCTAAAAAAGGATGGTTAAAAGTGGAGTAAGTGTTGTCAGACCGCTTTGCAGTTACACAAATTTATTCAAATATAGTGGTCAGTGATAAAAGAGATGCTAAACGGAGCAGATGGGGTCTGTGTGTGTGTGTGTGTGTGTACCTGAGATGATGCCTAAAAGCTTCTTCAGGAATAGAAATAGATGCCCAGATGAATGTGTAACGTGATTAGGAAAGCGGTGTAGTAAAATCAGATTAGATTTAGTTTTTTTTCCCCTGTGCTGATGTGTTAGGTGTAGTTTTATTTCTCTGGTTGCAAAAAAGGTCTTAACTCTAATTGCCATATTAGATAGCATTGAGACACTCCTCAACTACGATTTTAGCACGGTAATAGCAGTGTAGGAATACCACCAACATCCTCCCTGCACAATTGCATTCTAGCTTATTATTATCTTAAGTGTCTTTAGACAGCAGGCCTACGGTACAGTGGGAGGAGAGATGACTCATTTAGTCAATATTCTGACTTATAACTGAAGCTCTTAATACCCCTCGGCTAATACAGTGGAGCAGTGTAAATACAACTTTGTGGATTTTAAGCCTTAGGTAGCTCAGCTGCTCCTTGTTTCACAGAACGATCTATCAAAGTGGAAATAAAATTTCTAGTCTTGACAATCACTTAAAGAGTTTTAATGGAGTATAATAACAGCCAGTAATGCCAGTATATCTCAAAACAAGTCACTTGAAGTACAGACTCATTATGTAAAAGTTAGTGACCTCAGTGTGAATAAAGAAAGTGTTGTTTTTTTGGTTCCTTTTAATACTTATTTTCATTTATTGTTAGTTTTATTTCTTGTATATGTTATTGTTTATTTTATTTATAGTTTTCCATGTTTTACTGTGATTTATATTATTTTTTTCCTTTTTGTTTAATATGTTTGTTTAAATCTTGATGTTGTCTTTTAACAGGAAAGCACTTTGGTCAGCTGTGTTGTTTTTCTGAGGTGCTCTATAAATAAAGTTGGATTGGGATTCATTGGAATTGTTTAACATAATAATTTTATTTTTTTTTAAACTTGCAAAGAAAACAGAACTCTGCACGAATAGTGTGTCACCGTGCTAGAAAGAAACTGCAGGTGTGACCTACTCCTCACAGGGAGGTTGGCCAGAGCCTGAAGCTGAACTCAAAGTCCTGTTTTCTGTCCAGATGCTGAGTTACGTTTGGTTTTATCTCACTGGCCCCACTGCACCAATTGACCCTGAAAACAGGTGGAAAAACCGGTTGATTTCGGCTTCGCTGGGTTAAAATGAAACATTTTTAGGCAGTTTTTCCTCTTGGTATCTATGCATAGTTGGAAAGGCTCGAGACACCAAAGCATACTTTCATCCACACAGAATAGATGAAAGTATGCTGTTAACGTTAACACTGGCACAAAATGTACAAAATGAGACAATGTTAGCGAGTTTAAGAATGGTCTTTAAAGAGGTATAACGTTTACAGGTACAACATTTATTCATTGAGTTTCCCCCACCTTTGGTTTCTATGTAGGAAGGAGCAGGAGTTGGACTCCAAAGACGCCATCATCCTCCATCAGTTTTCCAGGCCAAAGAATGGTGTGCCCAGCCTCTCGCCCTTCTGCCTCAAAATAGAGACGTATCTGCGGATGGCGGATCTGCCCTACCAGGTGATAACAGAGAGGGGAGGGGGGTGTTTCTGCCTCTGAAGAGTTTAAGTTGTTTTTCTCTTCAGCCATTAATAGCTACTTCTGTTGCACAGCCTTAATGCCTCTCTTCCATCAGCATCAACACTGGGTAGCACAAGCTAATGGCAGCTTAGAAATGGGGTCCCACAGCTTCCATATAAGGACAAAAACAATGAAAGCTGTTGTAGCTGTTGGACGTGACGGAGTTGAAGATCTTAAGATTTTAGTTGTTAATGACCATCTTGGTTGCAAAAAATGGATGCAATGAGGAAGACTGGGTCTGACTTTGAAACCACATGCTTATTATGGATGATGACTTGTGATTTACAGCTTGTTAGTCAATGATTGTGTAGTTTCATGCCACAAATAAGTCTCCATTTTCACATAGGTCTACAGTCTCTTTGTTTTGTTAATAAAATGTACACACAGCCCAGGAAATTCATGTGCAAAGTTGTTTCCCTTTGCAGAACTACTTTGATGGCAGGCTATCTCCGCAAGGTAAGATGCCCTGGATCGAGTACAACCACGAACAGGTGTCGGGGTCAGAGTTTATAGTGGACTTCCTGGAGGAGAAGCTGGGTGTGAACCTCAACAAGAACCTCACCCCACAGGAGATAGCGGTGTCCCGCGCTGTCACCAAAATGGTTGAGGAACACCTCTACTGGTAAGTAAGTCGTATAGGTATACAGTGCTGTAGCTGTGCCTTTGAAAGGCTTTTAAGAGCTAAGACTTCAGGCACTTTAAATGGAAAAGCCACTGTCAGATCATTTTAAAGACAGAAAGCAGTTCTCTGTTTCTACAGTTTGATTTAATTATTGCACTTGAGGGGTGAAATTATGTGGTGCTGAGTTGATTATGTAATTTTGTGTGTATGCATTCATATTTAAATGCACACTTTAATGTGCTCAGTGCTAAACCATATGAGGAACCACCTACACGGATCCTCCTGGGAAAAAAAGGTCCAATTAATTTTAGCAGCAAGAAAAAAAAAGACACACTGCAGATTTATTCTAAAAACAAAAAAGTAAGATTATTTGTGCATTGTTTGTGCAGCTTTTCAGCCCAGGCTGTGATATCTGCCATCCTTAGCAGCAGTGAGTCACTCCAGGATCACTGGGGGAGAGACATGCTGCTAGGAAATCGTTTTCCACACTCCATCTACACCGAGAGGAGTGTTTTCCATTACCTAAAAGCTCTATCTCTCTTTCTCTATCCATCCCCCTCACAAAGGCGCACGCACATACACACACTAACTCGGTTTGATCCATGTGGTATGGCCTATTGCTCTCTATATAATAATTTTAGAACACAATTTGAACTACTCATTGGTTTTAGTTTACTTATAAAAAAGGAACAACGGATGGAACAATTTGCTGGCTTTGTGTTATAAACTGAATCTGCTCCATTTCTCGAAAAGCAGCAGAGGTCATTCATGTAATCTACATTCACGTTCCCTCCCGTCTTGTCTCCTTGTGTCACCTCCCTGCTCCTCTTCCTCTGCTTCTCCATGCACCCTGCACCAGGTTTGGACCCACATATAGACCTATTGAGTGAATTATTTATTTCAGGGAAGGGCAGCATGACAGCGTGCTGCTCTTTGTGTACTGAGACACAGCCTAGAGATAGATTTGGTTAGATCGTGCACACAGAGAGTTGCCTTCCTGATTCATAGTGGCATGGTTATAGAGCAGAAAATGTTCTCAAAGCTAGCTTTACTATTATATACTCATTTATTTTGCTGTGCTTTTTAAAAATACAAATCTGTTAATAACTCTGTAATACCAGAAAAGGATCACTCAACTATACTTTAAAGTAGACATAGACAGACAACTAGTGTTAGCAGCTGTGATCCAGTGAATGTCAAAGAGGAATTTCAAGAGTAAAACTGGGCATAAATACAACTTTAAATTGAGATTAACCTTATGCTGGATATTTAAATGTCCAACTGTTTGCAAACACAGCAGGTATAACCGCGGATTAAAGGGGGATTCGGCAGGAGGAGGAACTCCAAGATGGGCTGTAACACATCTATGGTGAAAAGAATGAGTTAGAAATAAGTCACGCAGTAAAATGATTTGTTTCGTGAGCTCCATTGGACTTTTCTTTGTGTGCAGGCTGTGATTGGCTGACTTGGGCTGCTGCTCTGATATTCACTGCTCTTTGTGGATTTAGCCAGCAAAGTTCACTAAAATACTGTATAAGTAGATGTTTCATAAGCTTTATGGCTAAATGGCCCCAACTCCTAGACACTATAAAGCTAGTATAAAAGCCATAGTTCACAGAGTGAATCTAATCGGCATCATTACCCATCATTACCATCATTACCAAAATGATCCCTGCCACCCTCGGTGTAACCAGTCCGATGTACTGTTTAGCCTGCACTAAACCGCCAGGTATTCCCATGCAACCCTTGAATAACACTGTTTGTTTGACAAGAGGTTTCAAAAAATGTAATTTAGTACAGCATCAGACATGTATCTGATTATAAAACTCTAAAATGAATGCGGGCATTACATGTAAGATTTAAATTTCCTGTATGGAAACTTTCTTGTATTGAGCAGCCAGAACTTTTGAAAACAGTCATCCTTCATCCATCCATCTTCCTCTCTTTCTTGCATCCTTCTCCATCTGTCAGGATCACACATTAGCATTTGTTTTCTCTCCCTGGGAAATACTGCAACTGCAGCTTTATCTTGAAAATGCAGTTTGTGGCGAACTGCACAGAAACATTTGCAAAGGTTGCATTTGAAATTACCTGGGGATTAAAAATAATGCTTGCTCCTCTTCTGGTTTGTTTGTTTGTTTGTTTGTTTGTTTGTTTGTTTGTTTGTTTGTTTGTTTGTTTGTTTGTTTGTTTGTTTGTTTGTTTAAAGAATACAGACACTTTGGACATCAGATAATATAACAGGAAGTAGCATTTGGCCAATGGATAGTCCCCACTCTGAAAATTAATATAACCCAGATTCTTTAATTCAGTTTCTATTGAGCAACCAGTCACATACAGCAGAAAAATGACAGAGGCCAGGCACTGGCCTTTAGATGAACTGAGGGGTAAAAGCTCTAACCCATGTAGGTAGAAACATGTAGGTCTCCCCTGCACTTGTACTATTATCAACAAACAGCTTGGCTGTCATTGAGTTCTGTTGTTGAGCCAAAAAAAAAAAGAAAAAAGCACCAAGCCCAACTTCTTCACTTCTTCAGACTTTTTCAGATCATAAACAGAAAGAAAAAAAAAGTCCTACAGTGTGAAAAGTCCAAGTGTGTAAGAATGTAACAGCTTAATCGTAGTATCTGGACACACAGACAACTTATGCAGAACAGAAGCAACAAATGTATGAAATACCAGAGTTGCTGTTTTCATTGTCTTTGTTTTATGGAGTGAATTCATGTGAAACATTTGTCCTTTGGTGGTTTCACAAGGGATTTTGAGGGTTTGAGTTGGGTTTGTTTGCTTGTAAATAAACAGGATTTGTTGGACCACAGTGTGAGAAAAATCTCAATATAGAGATACACTATATGCTGCCATTTCTGCAGCATTGCTTTCTTTTCATGAGTAACTGTAAGTTGCCGGTGCTTTGCAGCAGTAGGCGTCTATATTTTATCACAAGCGGCAGGAACGGATTCCAGGCATTTCTTTCAAATGCCGACAGTTTGAAGGGCTGAATATACGATGTTGTGTTCTGGCAGCAAGTGAATGGGTGGAGCACTTTTATTGATTAAGTTGAGGCTAATTGTCATTAGACATAAAGCTTTACGATGCAGTGGCTGGACCTTTCATTAAACACTTTTATTGGAATCCCACTCTAATTCACTTTGACTCAGCATCATAGAGTAAAATATTACTGTTGGTCCTTTGTAAAATTCTGGTTTGCCACCATATTCAGTTTTAAAAATACAGCACTAGACTGGAGAGATGAGTAAACATGGCTCTTCTTTCTTGTATTAGTGTAGTTTTTGGTTTTACTTGAAACGGATCTAATGATTTACAGATCTTTAATACAACACAACATGACAATGTTTCTGCAAAGCAGGGGTGAAAATGCCAAAGTGAACACAGACACGCAGTCACTGAACTAACTAAAGAAGATTTAAGCATTAAGGTATTAAAGCTGTTTTTCCTTGTTTTTGCTTTATTTATCTCCTTTAAAAACAGCAGTATGAACAAAAACATGCTTTTGGAGAACTGTTATATCCCTAACCTTTTGTATGTGATAATTTTATGTTTAAATATGTGTGCTAATATTGATGGTGTTATACCTTCTAGCATGTTCTTGGTACATGGATTGTATGCTGAGTGGGATAAGGTTTTTTGGCTGTGTAGAAATCATTTTGTATGTTCAACTATAAATGATACAAATGAACTAGTGGCTCAAAGACTCAGTTTCAAATGCAGTTTGTTCTTTTTTGAAAAGACCACGATGATTTTAGACCAACATTTGGAATACTTTTTGATCTTGAGCTAAGTAAGTACAAGAAGAGTGTAAGAAACTGACCGACTGTAGGTGTAGCTGAGGCTCACTTTTGATTTAGAGGAGTAGCTTTTTGCCAGCCAGTGTAATCGTAACACAGTGTTGTCTATATTGTGTTTTCCTTCAGGACAATAGCCTACTGCCAGTGGGTGGATAACCTGGAGGAAACACAGAAGCTGCTGGCGATGAGTGGGCCTCTGAGTGACACGCTGAAATGGATGCTTAGCCACCTGAATGGTGGCATGGTGCGGCGGGAGATGTACGGCCACGGCATCGGACGCTTCTCCAAGGAGGAGGTCTACACACTGATGGAGAAGGACATGAGGACACTGGCCACTCTGCTGGGTACGGACGCCTGTTCAGTAGAACTAAGACTAACCTCATCAGGACTGTGGTTATAGAGCGATACGCTAATGCTGTTATGCAAGCTGATAATGGAGCTAGTGTTATTTCTTTTTCCCATTGGCTGTAATGAAAATACATGAATTTGTTACTGTGAGCTGATATTTCTCAAAATATTCACAAGCTCCTCTTAATTGGTTTATATTTATCAGAACAAAATGTCTGCGTTTTTGCACTTGAATTTTATTGAGGTACAGACAGTAATAAATGAAAACAGAGAACGTTCTGGATGTTAGCTGGAGGGATGCAATATAAGTGTGTTTAGAATAGTGCTTTGCATCGATCTGCTTGTGTCATTACAGCGAACAACAGCTTGTATAAAATGGAAAAGTCATTCCCGAGTGAAAACATTGGTACACTCCACAACCATCTGGCTTCCGTCTTTTAATGTTTGTTACACACAAGTACCAGAAGTGTTCATCTAAAATCTGGCATTTTAACCAGAAGAGCTGATTTCCCAACTTCAAAATGAAATTACTTTACTTTGAAGTTTGCTCCCCGAAGGGCAAGAAAAGCACACAAATACTTAGCAACCTTTCATTAACCTGCCTTCCTGTAGTGTTTTGGTTTCCCTCTGCATTACTGGAAGTGTTTACAGGTTACATTAAAAACATCTCTAATGGCATTGATGATGATGTGTATAAGAGCAGGGATTCCCAACCAGGAGAGATGTCAGCAGCTGCCTGGGGTACTCAAAGATCAGAGTATTTCCACTTATTTGAAAAATGTATGAATAAATTGAACAAATTTAAAAACAAAAGTAAAAAGAAGTTCATTTCAGTTTTATTTATATAGCACTAAATGACAAGTTTCAAGGCGTTTTATATTAAAGTAAAGACCCAACGATAATAAAGAGAAAACTCCAACAATCAGACAACCCCCTATGAGCAAGCACTTGGCAGAGTTGGGGGGGAAAAAAAACATCCAGCAGAACCAGGACAAGTTGGGGGTGAGGGGAGGGAGACAAGACAAAAGACACACTGTGGAAGACAGGCAGAGATGAATAATAACCGATGAAGAGAAGGCAGTATGGGAGAAATATGCTCTGTCTTTCTAGTCAGTGTTAGCACTCTCTGCAGCAGTTCAAAATGTGCTCGGTGAAATGTGTTTAGGTGGGGGGAAAGTATCCAAAAACAACCGTGAACTAAGATTTAGTGCTAGTGATAGATCATTTTGTATTGTAATCTTAAAATAAAGCCGTTCACACACTTGATGCATCAAATTTGTACTGATATTTCATACATTAAGATGGATATTGAAATGGTAAAATAATACTATTTTACCTCAGGCACACAGCTAGACACTGCTCTGGCTCTTTGAAATGATTTCTGTCTCCTCAGATGTGATACTGACTCTGCTAACAAGAGCTTAAACTGCCCCACTGACATCTTATATGTATAAACATTACATGACCAGCTCATATCCCAAGAATTCGGAATATAACATTTTTTTCCCAGCACACTCACTGTGCAAAGGTCTTAATGATAAACACCTCAAAAAGTGAGCTAAAGGTAGTTCATGAAGTCAGTTAGTGCATCAAAAAAGCTCAAAGTAAAGCGAAAACTGTTGGTTTACAAACACCTTCTGCCAGTACAAGTGGAATGAAAATCATCTGTAGCAAGAAAGCTTTCAACAACACAGATGGAATGAGTTGCAGAGTTGAAAAAGGAGTACTTTAATTTGGTTTTTGATATCTATTATGTGTCTGTGTGTGTGTTTGGTTACTTTGTTTCTGTTATTGATTTGCAGCAGGTAAATCATCACTGTAAAAACTGATTTGTTTTAAAGTCTTCCCAGCTCTGCATTAACATGCCACAGCAGATTACTAACAGCCAACATGCCAGTACTGGTGAACAGGGACAGTATCAGCTGGCCAACTTGTTGCTTCATCGCTGCTTATTAATGTTACTAATAGTTTTAATTTAACCATCTTTAGCTGCACAGTGCTGTGGAAGTTCTCTTATATTCCCTTTATCGTTGCTTGAAATTGCTGTTTGTTTTCTGTCTTGCAGGAGATAAGAAATACTTCATGGGGTCTAAGATGTCAACATTAGATGCTACAGTGTTTGGGCATCTAGCTCAAGCCATGTGGACTTTACCTGGAACACGACCAGAGCAACTTATCAAAGGTCAGAGGATCTATTCAGTAATTGCAAATCAACACATACATGCTGTATTTTATCACAAGTTTTTGTATATTACCTTGTCCTTGCAAAATTTAAGCATACTTGTGAGATGTTTTCACTGGTGCATTTTTATGTGTAGTCCACTAGATGGCAGTGCTGTTCTGCTGCAGTGCAGTGCTGCTTACACAAGCTCAGAGAGCAGCTTTAAAGTCTCACACAGGGAACACTGAAGTCTTTTTATCTTTTCAGAGAACAGCATCAGAGCTTGATTCTGTGTTTTAATCCGTAATTTGTGATCAAGGTGATTGTGGGAAGAAAACCGGACACAAGAAAAGACTAACAAAGGCAGCAAGCACCTGTGATACCACCTGCTGGTTTCTTCTCTGTCTTCAAAAAGATTTACATGTCTCCACAGGAGAGCTGATCAACTTGGCCATGTTCTGTGAGCGGATGCGGAGGAGGTTCTGGCCCGAGTGGTTTGTTGAGGTGGAGGATTTTTACTACGACGGAGACAGCGAGAGCAGCAGCGGGGGCACCCCCACGGGCCTGCTGGACTTCGGCCTCTTCTCCAGGACTGACACGCTGGACGACAGCGATGGCAGCAGCCACTCAGCCGGACGCACGCACACACATTCCCCTGACTCTGACCGCTCGCTATTTGATTCGGACGTGGGCACAGGGTCTGACAATGATGCTCAGTTTAAAGAGGAGTCAATGCCAGACCTGGAAGTTTGACCTAGGCAGACTGAGACTGACCGAAGGCTGGAACAGTCGGTGCTACAGGCTGCTGTGTGGTTTTGCTTAAATAAATCTGGCTGGAACGATGTGTCCAAGCAGCAGCTCGCACACAGCTGAAAGAACTATTCCAGCTCCTCCACCTGTAATGCCCAGCATGTTACAACTTCCCAATGGGCAGACTGGGCGTTTGTATGCGGACGATGCAAAATAAACCTTACAAAACATGCAACTGTACAGTCAGTTCCCTCCCGTAACGTCAGAACTGTCCCTGTGACAGTTCCTCTTTGCCTTATTTGTCTCATCCTAAGATGCAGAAGCTAGCGCGAAAGGTTAACACACAAAGGAACCATCTCATGAAGAGCGCGTTGGCAACAGAAGAGTGCTACAGACATGACAGGTGGCACTTCACTTGCTATGAAATGATGCAACTAATCACCACTCTGCCGTGTGTCATAACGCACAAAACCACTGAAACAGGTGGAGATAGAAAAAGGAACAGCTGCCATGTCTCTGCTGTTAGCCATCCGTGTGCTGAGGAGTAAACACAGATGACATTGAGCATCAGTCCATTAAGTTGACCCTAAAGTCATTTTCCTCATGCTCCCTCATGCTTCTGTATGTGGTGAAAAAAAGTAATTCAATCATTTTGTCTAAAAGCCCAGATACACTTACTGTATAGGCCTGTTGAACAGAAATCAGGAGGTAAGGTTTGTGCCTATTTCTTCTGCAAGCTTCATCCTATTTTCTGCCCAGTAAGTAATTATCTGCCTGCACTTTGTTATTGTTGAACTTGGAGAGTTGGGGGGGGGTTTGTTGTTGTTGTCGGGTCTTTTTTGTGGTTTTTTTTTTGTAGTTTCTTCCAAACTTCTTGTGGTCTTATCGAAGAGCTGCAGTTCTTGTATTTGACCACTAGATGGAGTCAGCAGTCCGCCTGTTGCCTTCTACATCAAGGTCACTCCAGCCTAAGGACGTGCAGTACATTTAACACAAGAAATGTCCACTTCTTTGCTAAATCTCCCATTCATACGTAGCGCGCGCGCTTGTGTGTGTGTGTGTGTGTGTGTGTGTGTGTGTGTGTGTGTGTGTG